CTTTTTGTTTTTGTTTTGGCTTGTACCTCTGTCTAAGCCATAAACTTCATAGGCAGGGACTATGTCTGTTTTGTTCACCATTGTATCCCCAGTGCCTAGCAGAGTGTCGCACACATTTCAGACATTCAATAGTTGAATGAATGAACACATTGGAGATAGTTAAAATCCTGGAGGTTAAACTAGTGTTAACCTCAAGTCTGCTAGGCCTAGAGATCCAGGGTAAAGTTTGGAGGCTTTCCCTGCAGAGTGAATGTCAGAGATCAGGATTAAAAGAATATTAATCAGTTACAGTGCTCAGCCCAAATCACAGAAACATCCCTCTTCTGCTACTGGGGTTACACAGCCACCCCCAAACCAGAGGACAGAAGGGGCATGGCATCGTGGATTGATGCAAACCACTTTAAGACTCCAGGCTGGGCACGGTGGCTCATGGCTGTAATCCCAGCACTTTGGGAGGCGGAGGTGGGCAGATCACGAGGTCAAGAGATCGAGGCCATCTTGGCCAACATGGTGAAACCCATCTCTACTAAAAATACAAAAAAATTAGCTGGACGTGGTGGCAGATATCTGTAGTCCCAGCTACTCAGGAGGCTGAGACAGGAGAATCACTTGAACCCAGGAGGCAGAGGTTGCAGTGAGCCGAGATTGCACCACTGCACTCCAGCCTGGCGACAGAGTGAGACTCCATCTCAAAAAATAAAAAATAAAAATAAAAAAGACTTCAAGTGGAGGTAAAGATAACTGAATCAGACATAAGAAAAGTAAAGTAATTATAAGAGAAGTCAGGCCCAGATTTGGCAGTGACAGGGGAGCTCTTCTTACTCACATTCATAATTTTTCACTAGTGATGCCTAAGACCAGTGCTGTTCCTACTTCTGATACCATTCCTCTACCTTATCTGACCTGCAAGCCTATGTGAGAAGGTGAGGCTGTCAGATTTCTCCTGAAACAAATGAGACACAGCAGAGCCTGGAGAGAGAGGGTGGGGCCAGCAGTTACAAAGTCTAGGACAGGTAGTTAGACCAGATTTACCCAACAGGTTCTCCATAACTCAACCAGCGAGCCAGGACATTCATCATCTATATGACATATCAAGGTTACTTCCTGGTTCTGTAGTCATTTGTGAGGAGACAGTACATTTGTAGTACAGTCTTCTCTTTGGATCAGTAATTAGTATACGTATGATTTGAAAAATGTTTTTATTAAGCACATTAATAGCTGAGAATTAAAAAAAATAAGATAGTACATTTTCCATGGGACAGACAGGAAATTTAACTAGTATAAACAATGTCCTTGGTGAGCAAGAAAGCCCAGCCAGAGACTGAGATAATCTCAGGGAAGGTTTCTTTTCTTTATTATTCTCGTCATTGGAGATCCCTGCTCTTGTATTTTTAAAACCATTTTTTGAAGTACAGCATATACATAGTGTACAAATCATACTTCAATAAATGCTTTAGTTTTAAAAATAGTATTTCTCTGATTATAAAAATAGCACATGTGCATTGTAGAAATGTAACTGCCCAATGGGTTCGCCTTGTCCGCTGTCCAGACAGAGCCCTATCAAGACGGGGAATTGTAATGGAGAAAGAGTAATTCACGTAGAGTCGGCTGTGTGGGAGACCAGAGTTTCATTGTTACTCAAACCAGTCTCCCTGAGCATTTGGGGATCAGAGGTTGGTTTTTTTTAGACGGAGTTTCGCTCTTATTGCCCAGGCTGGGGTGCAATGGCACGCTCTCGGCTCACCGCAACTTCTGCCTCCCAGGTTCAAGCGATTCTCCTGCTTCAGCCTCCAGCATGTGCCACCACGCCCGGCTAATTTTTCTATTTTCAGTAGAGATGGGGTTTCTCCACGTTGATCAGGTTGGTCTCGAACTCCCGACCTCAGGTAATCCGCCCGCTTCGGCCTCCCAAAGTACTGGGATTACAGGCATGAACCACCGCACCCTGCAATAAAGTTTCCCCAGGTGAGTCCTACACACATTAAACTTGGATAAGTATTGTCTTTTATTTATTTTTTATTTATTTATTTATTTATTTAGAGACGGAGTCTTGCTCGGTTGCCAGGCTGGAGTGCAGTGGCGTGATATCCGCTCACTGCAACCTCTGCCTCCCGGATTCAAACAATTCTCCTGCCTCAGCCTCCCGAGTAGCTGGGACTACTGGCCCATGCCACCATGCTTGGCTAATTTTTGTATTTTTAGTAGAGACGGGGTTTCAGCATGTTGGCCAGGATGGTCTTGATCTCTTGACCTTGTGATCTGCCTGTCTCGGCCTTCCAAAGTGCTGAGATTACATGTGTGAGCCACCGCGCCTGGCCAAGATCAGAGTTTTTAAAGATAATTTGGTGGGTAGAGGCTTGGGAAGTGGGGAGTGCTGATTGGTCAGGATGGAGATGGAATCATAGGGAGTTGAAGTGAATTTTTCTTGCCGTTTTCTGTTCCTGGGTGGGATGGCAGCACTGGTTGAGCCAGATTGCCGGTCTGGTTAGTCTCACCTGATCCATCGAGTGCAGGGTCTCCAAAATATCTCAAGCACTCATCTTAGGTTTTACAATAATGATATTATCCCTAGGAACAATTTGGGGAGGTTCAGACTCAGAGCCAACAACTACATGACCCTTAAACTGTAATTTCTAATCTTGTAGTTACTTTGTTAGTCCTACAAAGACAGACTGGCCCCTAGACAGGAGAAGGTCTTTTCAGAAAGAGCTATTATCAATTTTGTTTCAGAGTCAAACCATGAACTGAATTCTTTCCGAAAATTAACTTGGCCTATGCTTAAGAATGAACAAGGACAACTTAAAGGTTAGAAGCGAGGTAGAGTCGGTTAGGTCTGATTTCTTTCACTGTCATAATTTTCTCAGTTATAATTTTGTAAAGGCAGTTTCAGAAATATTTGAACATATGAAAAGAAAATCATTATTACAATAATCCCACTTGTAATTTCACCACTGAGAGACACGTTTTAAAATTCTGGTGAGGAATTTTGCAACCTTTTTCTAAAGGCTATATTTAAGTATAGACATTATAAAATTGTGATTTTATCGTTCCTACTACCTTTATTATTTTTATTGTGAATATTATCACATATTCTTCCTCAATGTGACATTTAACAGCTGCATAAAATTTTGTCAAGTGATCTTACTCTACTATGGAAATATAGGGCCAGAGTAGAGAGAAGCACTTAGTTGAGGAAAATGGGGTTAGAAGTAGAAAGTGTATTTGCCAATTAATTTCAGTAGATGGGGTGATGATTATAGATATTAAATTGTGCAAGCAAGTCATCTAAGAACCTATATAAGTACTGAAAAGTAAACATGTGGCTGGATAATATTTCAGGTATTTCCCTGCATTTTTATTCTTCTTGAACTTCTCCCTGGCCTTTCCCCCATTAAAGCTGGTGGTCAGTCTGTCCTCATTGTCACAAGAGGGAGATGTTGCATGTTAGAAAGCAGAAGTCTGCAAGACTTTCTGCTTTCTGTTTGTAAGACATGAAATTCTAGAATGGAGAGAGTGTAGACAAGATGTCTGCTTGAAATGGAAGTAAAACTTGAGAATATTGTCCCAGTTAAGTGGAAGGAAATAAATGCACAGAGAACTCTGAGGCCTGGAGCAAAGGAGGGTGGTAGTAAAACTCCAAAGGTGAAGTAGCTTCCAGCTGTGTCCAGGCAGATGATTCCTCAGCTGTCCTAAAGGTGTTAAAAGTCCCCACTGACTTCATAATAGGAGAGACGCTGTGACCAAATGCTGCACGGTTCCTGGCTTACTGAGGGCACTCAATGTGCATCCCCCCAGGGCTTCTCCTCTTTAGCAACGAAGCTCCCTAACCTCGAAAGACTTATTCATGGAGATGGGGCATTTTATAACCTGTCTCCTTCTAGAAGTAGCTTTAAGGCTGCCTGTCACCAGGTATGGGTCTAAAAGCAGCTAGCTTCTTTCTCTTCTCTACCATTTACAGGAATTTTTGCATAGACTGACCGTAAGTGTAAATTTCCAACATTTTATTCTTGTAGCTATTAGAACCAGTTACGTGGCCATCCAACTGATCAGATCTTGGTGGAAAGATGGGTGTTCTCACGGGTGAATAGGGGAGAAGAACGAATGCATGGATTCCTGTTTCGGCTCATACTTCAGATTCTGACCGTGTGGAAGAAAGGACGAACAGAAAGTCAAGTAGAGCTCTTACCTGGAACTCGCTGTTCCATGAAGTAAGTCTAAGTTAGCCATTCTCATTTACAGCAGACTTAGTGGAAAACTATTTTTTTTTTTCAGTAGAAAAGAGAAGTGAGGTTTTTTAGGGGCTTTCCAGTTGGGAATTTTCAAGTCTAAACAACCATAAGGCAGTGATTCTTAGACACATGAGGATAATTCTGGGATTCTGTGGTGAAGACAGGCAGGAAGAAGGACATGTAAAATTTGGAAACCCACATACATATTTGGAAGAACAAAGATAACTACTTTTCAAATAATATGAGCTGTATAAAAGATGTGACATCTTTTAAATTCTTGTTTAATGGGGATATAAGTAAATCAAGATTGAGAAACTGCTTTAGGCTGTAGAAAAACGTGCAAGATAGTGTAAAATACATATAAACCTAGTGTTCGCTAAATAAGGAATCAATACCAGTTTAATCAACAAAGACACAAAGCTGGAGTTTAGAGAACATCTAGCCCAATGGTTCGCAAACTACAGCTCCGTGAGTCAAATCTAGTCTAGCTGCTTGTTTTGTTTTGTTTTAAATAGCCGTCAAACAATAGTTTTTATATTTTTAAGCGGTTGAAAAGAAATCGAAAGAGTTGTATTTCATAATGTGTGAAAACTATGTATAACTCAAATTTCAGTGTCCACCAATGAAGTTTTGTTGGAACACAGCCATGTATTGTTAATTGCTGCTTTCATGCTACAATGACAGTTGAGAAGTTGCAACAAACAGTATATGGCTTGCAAAGTTTTTTTCATTGAAAAATGTTCTTTTCAGAGACAGTCTCATTCTGTTGCCCAGGCTGGAGTGGAGTAGCACAATCATACCTCGCTGCAGGCTCCAACTCCTGGACTCAAGCAAGCCTGCCACCTCAGCTTGCTGAGTAGCTGGGATTACAGTGCCAGCCACTGCACCCTGCTGGCCTGCAAGGTTTTACCTGGTGCTTTATGGAAAACATTTGCTGACCTCTGAGCTAGCTCACAGTTCAGGCAAGGAAATTGAAGTCCTGAAAGTTTAACTGATTTGTTCCAGCTCAGATGACTACACAGTGGTAGGTTCTTAATATTATTAATGAAATCTCTTTACTGTCTATGTATTTTTTGGTTATTGCTCCTATGTCAGCAGTTTTACTTTCCTTTTGAACCTTTTCTAGCTCCAAAGATATTTCCTAATAGAATTTTCTAGAGTGTAACCACAAATATTTTTGGCAAACACAAGGTATGTTTTGCTTTGCTTCTAATGCACCTTTAAAGGATATTAAGCATTTAGCTGATCTTTCCAACTAAGGCACCTTGAAAACTGCCTGAAATGTCTTTATAAATTAGCTTCCAAGTCTGTTAGCATGCTGTTTATTACCATTTAAGAACTTTACATGCAATTAGGATGTATTGCCACCAAGTGGCCAATGGCACCTCTGTTATGCTTTCTCCACTGGGCTATCACAGAATTATCATAGTCTCACAGGATCTAGTGGTTGGAAGGAACCTTAACTCCAGCCGCTTAACAAGGAATCGTTGCTTAAAGAGATCATTATGCTGTCTGATCAAGTGTTAGAAACAGAAAGAGCTGTTTTTTCAAAGTTAAGCATACATTCTTACTTAGTTACTTTTAAAGCCAGATAGAAGCTCGCAAATACGATTTGGTGTTATCCTAAGACTTCAATTGTTATTAATCATTGATAAAACTAACCCTGTTGTCAGGCTATGTAGCAGCTTCCTAACTCAGTCTGTTATTTCCAGTTAAGTATCCCTCAGATGTGTCTTAAAACAATCTGACATAAAAGCCCTTGCAGCTTGATTATTTCTCTTTTTATTAAAAGAGAGATAGTGCTAACTTTGCTTATAACCTATCAGGACAGGAGCCTGCTCACCTCCACAGCCTTTTTCTTAACTTCTTGTAATGGTGTGTTCACGTCTTTTGCCCATTTTTATACTGGGTTTTGGGGTATCGCCCATCATCTATGATAGATGTTGCAAATATTTTTCTCTTAGTGATTTGTCATTTAACTTTGCCTTGGTGCTCTTTTTTGTGATGTGACAATTTTTTATTTTTATGTAGTCAAATTTATCAATAAGTATTTTCTTTTACTGAATCTGGATTTGGAGTCACAGAAAGTTAATAATTCACTGTTGATTTCTTCTAGTATTTATATGGTTTAGCTTCTTCTTCTTTTCTTTTTGTTTTTGAGACAGAGTCTTGCTCTGTTGCCCAGGTCAGAGTGCAGCGGCGTGGTCTCGGCTCACTGCAACCTCCGCCTCCCGGGTTCAAGTGATTCTCCAGCCTCAGCCTCCTGAGTAGCTGGGACTACAGGCATGCGCCACCACGCCTGGCTAATTTTTGTATTTGTGGTAGAGATGGGGTTTCAACATTTTGGCCAGGCTGGTTTTGAACTCCTGACCTCGTGATCTGCCCACCCCAGCCTCCCAAAGTGCTGGGATTACAGGCGTGAGCCACCGTGCCTGGCCAGCGTCATCTTTTATATTTAGATCTCTGATCTATTGTGAGCTGCTTCTTCTGCTGCTTCTGCTTCTTTCTTCTTCTCTTCTTTCTCATCTTCCTTCTCTTGCTCTCTTCTTCTTCTTTTCTTTCTTCTTCTTCTCCTTCCCTTCTCCCTCCTCCTCCTCCTCCTCCTCTCCTCTCCTCCTACCCTCCTCCTCCTCCTCCTCCTCCTCCTTCTTCTTCCTTCTTCCTTCTCTTCTTCTTCTTCTCTTCTTATTATATTATTATTATTATTATTTTTTGAGAATGGGGTCTCTCCTCTGTTGTCAGGCTGGAGTGCAGTAGGAGCCCAATGTCAGCTCACTGCAACCTCCATCTCCCAGGCTCAAGCAATCCTCCCACTTCAGCCTCCCGAATAACTGGGAGTACAAGGTGTGTGCTATCACACCTGAGTAATTTTTGTATTTTTGTAGAGAGCGGGGGTCTCACTATGTTGCCTAGGCTGGTCTGGAACTCCCGAGCTAAAGAGATCAGTCCACCTTGGCCTCCCAAAGTGCTGGGATTACAGGCGTGAGCGACCAAGCCCAGCAGAATTTATTCTTATGTATAGTTTGAGGTGTGGATTCAATTTTATCTTTCTCAAAATGGCTGTCACGTTGTCTTCCCACCATGCATTAAATAGTCATATTTGCCCCAGTGATTTTTTTAGATGCCATATGATTTTTTTCTACCATATTTTAAATTTCTATTTATACTTAGGTTTAATTCTGGACTTTGAATTCATTTACTCAGATCTGTCTATGTGTGTGCCAATATCAAACTTTCATTATGGAGCTTTTTATTTTTTTTTAAATTTAATTTAATTAATTTATTTTTGAGACAGTCTTGCTCTGTTGCCCAGACTGGAGTGCAATGGCACTCACTGCAACCTCCACCTCCTAGGTTCAAGCAATTCTCCTGCTTCAGCCTCCCGAGTAGCTGGGACTACAGGTGCCCCCCACCATGCCCAGCTAATTTTTTGTATTTTTAGTGGAGACAGGGTTTCACCATGTTGGCTAGGCTGGTCTCGAACTCCTGACCTCAGGTGATCCACCCGCCTCGGCCTCCCAAAGTGCTGGGATTACAGGTGTGAGCCCTTGCACCTGGCTGTAGATTTTAAAATGTGTTTTAATGTCTGGTAGTGCTACCTTTCCTTTATAGTTCTTCTTCTTCTTTTTTTTTTTTTCCTACCCACCTGAACACTGTCCTTCTAGTTCTTTTTCAGTTTTTCTTTTTTTAAAGCTGTTCTTGCACTTATTTTTTCACATGAACTTTAGTATCAACTTATCTAGTTTCAAAAAATCTTCTAGGTATATTTAGTTGTGAATTGACTTGGGAAGAACAGACATCTTTTGGATGTGATCCTATTCAAGAACATCTTTCCATTCATTCAAATCTAGTTTTTGGTATTTTAGGAGTGTTTCAAAATTTTCTTCATACTGATTTTGCACATTTCTTGTTAAATTTATCCCTTAGAGTTCATTTTTTTTTTTTTTTGTTATTGTCAATAGGACTTTCTCCTCTATTTTATTTTCTGACTGGTTACTGTTAGTGTATCTAAAGGCTGTTGATTTCTGTTATGTTAGTTTTATATCCTGCTAACTTTAGAATTTTTTAATTGCTTGGTTAGTTTTACTTTGTTTCTGTAAGATTTTACAGATACATTATTATGTCATCTGTAAATTTCTAGCTTTAGGACTGAGGTGTATATATTTTATTACATTAATACAAAAATACATTAATTCCTACATTCCTGAGTGCTTTTTTGACAGCAGAAATAGGCTTTGAGTTGTGTCAAAATTTTTTCAGCATTTATAGTGATCATCATACGGGTTTTCTACTTAGATCTATTAATATGGCAAATTACAGTAATTGATTTTCTAATAATGGACCATTTTTGTGTTCCTGGACTACATCCCATTGGACATGGTGTATTATTTTCTGAATGTGGCATTGGATCCTGTTTATTAATATTTTACTTTAGGATTTTTACCTAAGGTACATACGTGATATTGTTCTGTCATTTTCTTTGTGTCACGTTGGTCAGATTTAGGAATCAGTGTTATGAATTTGGATGTTTTCTCTTCTCTAGAATAATTTATATTGGATTGAGATGATCTGGTCTTGGAAGATATGATAGAATTTTCCTTTGCAACTGATTGTGGTGCTTTTTTGTGAGTAGCTCATTGATCATTTCTTACATGGATATTGCTCTGTTTAAGATCTTTAAGTAAATTTTGATAAACTGTATTTTAGTAGGAATTTGTCCATTTAATCTAACTTTTCAAATATATTTGCATAAACATGTATGAAGTAGTCAGTTAAGATTTTAAAAAATATCTTCTCTGTTTCAACGGTTATTTTCCTTTTGTCATTTATTATTTTGTTTGATTTGTTGCTTTGTTGATTTTTCGGAGACCAAGGATTTTGATTAATTAGTTCTTTTTTGTTCTTTTTAAAAATGTTCTACCTCATTAATTTTGGCTTTTAGATTTATTAGTTCCTTTCTTATCTTTTCTTTTGGTTACTTTCATTCCCCCTAACTTTCTGAGTTGTGACTTCAATTCACCTATTTTCATTCTTTAACTTTTAGTTGCTATAAGTGTTTAAGACTATGAATTCTCCTCAGATCACTTTTAAATGGATCCCGTGTATTCAAATATTTAGGTTTATAGTCTCAACATTTTCTGCAAATTCTCTCAAAATTTTTTGCAAATTCAATAATCTCAGGGAAAATGATATATTTTTCCTTTCATCCAAAAGTTGTTTAATAAAACGTTTCTTACTTTCAAGGTGGAATGGCCTTTTGGTTTTTTGATTTGGCCATTAATGACTAATTTTTATTGTTTTATGATTATCTTAAATCTCTTATAATACCTACACCCTCCTGCTTTTGTTTCCCATATTGATTTTTTGCAGAAACCAAGTTGCTTATTTTATATGATATTCCATATCCTGAATTTGGCAGGAATGAATGATGTCATTTAACTTTTTAAATAAAATAATCCATGTTTCTGTAAATTGCTATTTATACTTCCAGGCTTGATTAAATTTAGGTTTATTGTTTTAGGCAATAATACTTCATGGGCATGCTATATACTTCCCACTGCAATATGTATTAAAACATGTAATGTTGCCCTTGAGTGATGTAGATATTATTCAGGGCTTTAGGTGGGTCGGCCTGATCCTCCCTTATAAAGTTCACCTTCACCCTTTATGAAATGGTTTTCGCATCAGTGTTGTAACCTTAACCCATTGCTTTATTAGGTGTAGTGGAATGGTGATTTTTCTAGTCCTGTCATTACTTTTGCTATTTGTGTTTGTTGTTATATTTATTTTTTGACAGTTTTATTGTGGTATAATCGATGTACAATACACATATTTAAAACATACAATTTAATTAGTTTTGACATACTTATATAGCCAGATAGGTTATTATGTAGTCTGTTACTAAATTCTGTATGTTAATAACTGAATTCTTATATAAAGAAGAATTTTCCATCATCAATGATTTGATTACCCTGAAATACAGTTCAAATAGCGAAAGGAAGGCTAAATGCTTACTTTTTTCTCTTAATTTATCAATGAACAAATAATAAGTTATTGTCCTGAAACTTCCAATGGTGAGAATTAAGGTTTTTTAAAATTTCTTTTTTTCGGAGGGTGGGGTTTAGGAGAGTTCATTAGTATTATGAACTAATGAATTTTTATATATTTAAAATGTTTCAGGAACCTACAGAACGGGAGAAAATTTTTGCAAACTATACATCTGACAAAGGTCTTATATCTAGCATCTATAAGGAACTTAAACAAATCTATGAGAAAAAACAAATAATCTCATTAAACAGTGGGCAAAGGACATGAACAGGCACTTTTCAAGAGACATACCTGTGGTCAACAAGCATATGAAAAAAAAGCTCAACATCACTGATCATTAGAGAAATGCAAATCAAAACCACAATGAGATACCATCTCACACCAGTAAGAATGGCTATTACTAAAAAGTCAAAAAATAACAGGTACAGTCATGGTTGTGGAGAAAAAGGAATGCTTATACACTGTTGATGGGAGTGTAAATTAGTTCAGCCGTTGTGGAAAACAGTGTGGTAACTCCTCAAAGACCTAAAAACAGAACTACCATTTGACCCAGAAATTCCATTTCTGGGTATATCCTGAAAGGAATAGAAATCATGCTGTCATAAAGACACTTGCATGTGTATGTTTGTTGCAGCACTCTTCACAACAGCAGACACATGGAATCAACCTAAATGCTCATCAATGGTAGACTGGATAAAGAAAATATGGTACATATACCCTATGCAGCCATAAAAAGAACAAGATCATGTCCTTTGCGGGAACATGGATGGAGCCAGAGGCCATTATCTTTAGCAAAGTCATGCAGGAACAGAAAACCAAATACCACATGTTCTTACTTATAAGTGGGAGCTAAATAATGAGAACACATGGATACATAGAGGGGAATAATAGAAACTGAGGCCTACTAAAGGGTGGAGGGTGGAAGGAGGAAGAGGATCAGGAAAAATAACTAATGGGTACTAGGCTTAGTACCTGGGTGATGAAATAAACGGAACAACAAACCCCTGTGACATGAGTTTACCTACATAACAAACCTGCACATGTACTCCTGAACTTAAAAGTTAGAAAAGTTTTCAATCAATTACAATCATGGTCTTTTACTGAAGCTCATATTGTTCCATCTTAGGCTTATAGAAGCCCCTCAAGTTGGCTCTTATGTCTTTTTGATATAATTACAGTGGACTTTGATAGCTTCTTTGTTTGTTGGCACAATAACATATCATAGATTCAGCTTGTATATTTCCTACCACAGCCATGCAATCAATCATTTCTTGAGGAAGTCCTGGTTCCTTTTAATAGGGAATGGCATACAGAACTATGGGCTATTTTTATATTCTCAAAAAAAACTTTCTAAAATTTTGTTGGTTCAGTTACTAATGATGTACATTAATGACATACATTATTGGGATAATGCTTTTAAAATAAATTGTCTAAGTTAATAGTGTTTAGTTTTGTCTTTTTTATATCAGAGCCAAATAATTGATTTCAAGTAACATTATTCTATTTTGCCTATTATCTTTACTCATATGATCTATTTTTACTTACCACAAAAACTGTTAAGAAAGGGAACTGGGACCAACTAACAAGGAGGCCTGAGGACCCGGGCTCACTCTTTAGATGGCCAGAAACTTGAGCAAACAACCAGGTCTTTCTTTGTTTCTGACTCTTTGTGTACATAGGCAGGGGTAAAGCCAATGACCTGTCTTTGTGAACAGCTGGCTGCTGTGTATGTTACTTGGTCATTTGATGTTAGCAACCTGTCAGTCTTAGCCAGAGAAGCAAAGGCAGCCAAGAGAGGACTATAAAAGGGGCCAGACAAATTAGAAACACATCCATCTTTCAGACCCAGAAAAAGGAAGTGAGTATGAGTGAAAAAACAGACCCTGGCCATTTCTCACTTAAGTCTCTTAAGACAAAGTTTTCTTGATGGGGTGATGGGGAGGATAAAATGTGAGCCTTAAATTGGATTAGAAACTCAAGTTTTGGTTGGGCATCGTGGCTCACACCTTGTAATCCCAGCACATTGGGAGGCCAAGGCAGACGGGGGGCGGGGAGGATTGCTTGAGTCCAGGAGTTTGAGACCAATCTAGGAAACATGGCAAAAACTCATCTCTACAAAAAAAAAAAAAAAAAAAGAAAAAGAAAAAGAAAAATTAGCGGGTAGTGGGGTGTCGTGGCACACCCCTGTAATCCCAGCTATTTGGGACGTTGAATTACTTGAACTCAGGAGGCAGAGGTTGCTGTGAGCCAAGATCATGCAACTGCACTGCAGCCTGGGTGACAGAGCGAGACTCAGTCTCAAAAGCTCAAGTTTTAAACTAGACAAGACTTTTTAATAAGTGAAAATTACTAGAAAGATGTAGAGTCTACCCAAAATTCTGGTAAGGGATGGGAAGAAAGATTTGGCAAAGCCTGGTCAAAGGCAGTAACTGGAGGAAAGTAAAACTATTCGAGTTTGTAGCCCACAGTGTTCAATAAACTGGATATATTTGGTAACCATAATGGAAGAAGTCAAATTTTGTGCATCAATATAAGAAATAGAGGTTCTGGAATGAAGACTTAGGTGGGATTTTTATTTATTTATTTTTGAGATGGAATCTCACTCTGTCGCCCAGGCTAGAGTGCAGTGGTGCAATCTCGGCTCACTGCAACCTCCGCCTCCCAGGTTCAAGCAATTCTCCTGCCTCAGCTTCCTGAGTAGCTGGGATTACAAGCACCTGCCACCACGTGCGGCTAAGTTTTTTGATTTTTTTTTTTTTTTTAGTAGAAACGGGGTTTCACCATGTTGGCCAGGTGGGTCTCGAACTCCCGGTGATCTGCCCAAGTCGGCCTCCCAAAGTGTTGAGATTACAGGCATGAGCCACTGCACCTGGCCTAGGTGGGATTTATTTTATTTATTTATTTTTTGAGAGGGAGTCTCGCTCTGTAATCCAGGCTGGAGTGCAGTGGCCGGATCTCCGCTCACTGCAAGCTCCGCCTACCGGGTTTAAGCCATTCTCCTGCCTCAGCGTCCTGAGTAGCTGGAACTACAGGCAAGCTCCGCCTCCCGGATTTACGCCATTCTTCTGCCTCAGGCGCCTGAGTAGCTGGGACTACAGGGACTACAGGCGCCTGCCACCTCGCCCGGCCAGTTTTTTGTATTTTTTAGTAGCGACGGCGTAGCCAGGATGGTCTTGATCTCCTGACCTCGTGATCCGCTCGTCTCGGCCTCCCAAGCTGGGATTACAGGCTTGAGCCACCGCACCCGGCGCGCCCGGCCGGTGGGAGTTCTTTAAACTAGATGTTGACAGTCTGTCCTACCCGCTCACCTCAGGCTTTTACTGCAATTCAGTTATATTCCACCAGGTGGTAGCAGATAATCTTGGCTCTGTCATCCACAATATGATCAAATTATAATTTTCTGTATGAATTCCATTGTAGATTTAAACTATATATTTTCAAATAAAAATTAAAAACATTAACTATTTTAATAAAAACTTTTAATTATTAAGTATTATTTTAATACTTAATATCTAATGTATTTATATTACTTATTTTAATACTTAATATCTAATATATTAATATTAAGTATTATTTT